TCGGGGCAAGGGGAGGGGGGGGGGGTCCGAACCCCCCCCCCCCTTTGGGGGATCCAGCGGCGCGCCCTCGGAAATGACTAGGGGGATGTCATGGCGTGGGCCACGATACCTCCCCAGATTTCATGGCGCGCTTTCTTATTTCATTGCGTCTCTGGCCCCCCCCCCCCCCCCTGGGCCGCGCACATGCCGCCGGCAATGATTTGCGCCCCCCCTCTTGGACGCCCCGCTCTTGGCCGCCCCCGAACACGTGAAAGACTCGGTCAGGCAAAGTGCGGCAAGGCGGACGTCGGCTGCGCTGAGCTCGGCCAGGCTGAGCTCGCAGTCAACCCGCATGGAAAGGGCGAGCAGCTTCCCGAGGTCATCCTTGCATCCTTCCCCTTCGGCCCGTCGTTGGCCACTTTCGCTGGCCGCGCCCCGCTCGCAGAGCATCGACGTGGCCTTTCCAGGGCCCTGGCATCCTTGCCGCGCGTCCTTTTCATGCTGGCTTCTGCCTGCAGCAAGTGCGCGCCATGTCGCGGTGGGCGGCTTCTTGCCGTCGTCGTGATGGGTCGAGCTGCCAGGGCCCAGGGAAACGACAAAGCAGCCTCCGCGGGGTGGCCTTTCTCGAGCCCTTTGCGCCCTCACCGCGCCTTCTTCTGATGCGGGTGGGCCGTGGCCGACGGCGGCCTGGCCGAGGCCCGCCAGCCGAGCGCAGCCCGGCTGAGAGTGCGGGCTCGAGCCCGGCCCGGCCGAGGGTCGGTCCTGGCCGAGGGTCTCTCTGGCCGAGGTCCTGTGCTTGTGATGAAAGGTCACCGGCTCCACTGGCATTCATGGAGTGCTCGCTTGCGCGGTTGTTCATGGAGTTGGGGCTCTCTTGCGCTGGAAACAATCTTTCTGGCCGAGGCCCGCAGCTGCCTGGGGAGAGGGGGGCGCGAAGCGGAGCGCGGGGGCTCTGCAGGGGGCTGGCGGGGCAGGGGCGCTCACGCGTTCTTCGCATCAAGTCGGGCACGTCTCTCTACAGGAGGACTCTTCAGAAAGTAGTCAAAGCACAGTGAAGGGGACGATTTGTGGAGTATGTTTGGTTCGTTCTGAGTTGTTGTTGACCATGTCTTATGTTTCTTCCGAAATCCGCCAGTAGGGGGCATGCCCGACCTGTTCTTAACATCGCTGAGGGGCCAGTTTCTTCACCCGTGTTCGAGATCTGCGTGTTCTTTCCGTTTCGGTTGCCGCTTTCTTTTCGGTTCGTGGAGTTCGGAGCTGCTGATCGAGGAAGAACAGACAGCATGATCATAAACGTTGGGGCGCTCCGAGCGGGTTTGTTTGGATCGGCGCCTGAGCCCCCGGAGCCTCCGGCGCCGCCCCTGGCGCGCTCCGCGCGCCATGGAGGGGGGCCCAGCGCAGATCCAAGAAATCCACGCGGACGATCGAAAGATCATGTTTCTGGCGTTCTTAACTCGTTCGATTGGTGGCCGCTTTCTTTCCGTTTCGTGGAATTTGGAGCCGCCGAGGCACATCCATTCGCTTGGAAGGTACCACGAAGGAGCTTCGGAACAAGACTGAGCAGGACTTCTGATCAGGCCTCGGTTTCTGACGCTCCGGCCTTCCGGTGCCGCACCCGCAGCACCCTAGACGGTGCCCATGTGCGGGCGTGCTTCCGTGCTTCCGAGGCACACCCGTTCGCTCCGCGTCGCGCTCCCTCTGCTCCGGCGGTGCGGTTGTGGCTCCGCGAGCCTCGTGTTCGGGAGCTGCGAGATGGCTCCAGCAGGGCACGGCCGCCCAGCGACGGCATTCGCTGCTGGCCCCGGGGGCCGCCTCTGGGGGCTCACGTCGATGCCCCCGATTCGATGCGATGTTGATTTCGACGGGTTCCGATTCCGATCCGATTCGGCTTCGGATTCCGATGCTGATTTAACCTCCGATATCTCCATGGACGCCTGCTACCAGCGTCCCGATGCCCGCCGAATTGAGTTCTCCCGGTTTGGCTGCCGAGTTCCGCCGATCCGATTCATTTCGACCGCCGATCCGACATCTGGGCGCCGCAAGAAATCGGGGATTGACGTTTGATCCAACCTGTGCTGCTACCCCCACTCTGGCCGCCAGGGCGGGCAAGACATGGATTGGAAGCTCGGCCTCGATCCAGGGGCTGGATCTCTATCCATGCCACCGCCCCGCCCCCTCGTGGAGATTTGTCGCGGCTGCACGGGTGTGGATTCGACGTCGATCGCCCTGGAAGAGCCTGGGCCCCCGACGTTTCGCAACGTCGACCCCCAGAGGTCTGGACCCCTTCCCCAGGATCGGCTTGTCATCCGGCGAGTCGCGCTTTGATGCTCCACGGGGTCCGGTGACGGCCCCCGGAGGCCGAACACAGCGAAACGCCTCCCGCCGTGATTCTTGCCGCCACGCGAGGGGGTCGGGACGCCGATCGTTCAGGACAAGCGTTGCAGCCCAGCCTCCTGCACTGGCTCGGCCGCGCGGGAGGCCGTCTCTCGGCGGCTCTTGGGGGCCGTCCACGCCGAGAGGCGCGTCCGATGCGTGGGCGCCTGGGGCCCCTGCGGGCCCACGCCGCGGAGCGCACGAACGCGACGTCGGAGCACGGGTTCCTTGGTTTGGCGCCCCCAGACACCCCTCGCGTGGTGGACAAGTCACGGCGAGAGTTCTGTTCGTTATTTTGGGCCCCCAAGGGGCCCAGACCGGGCCTCGGGAGCGTTAACATGCCATTTCGGATGGAGAACTGATCCCGGGCAAGGGGTCCAGACCTCTGGGGGGTCGACGCTCAAAAAATCATGACGTCGTCGGGGGTCTCGGAGAGGGGTCCCCGCGCCTCCGCCACCCTGGCATCCACCCAGCTTCCACGCCACACTTGCATCCCCCAGGGAGGAGGAGGAGGAGGAGGAGGAGGAGGAGGAGGAGGAGGAGGAGGAGGAGGAGGAGGAGGAGGAGGAGGAGGGGGGGGAACGGAGGAGGAGAAGGAGGAGGAGGAGGAGGCGGAGGAGGAGGCGGAGGAGGAGGAGGAGAGGAGGAGCGGAGGAGCAGGAGGGAGGAGGAGGAGGAGGAAGAGAGGAGGAGGAGGAGGAGGAGGAGGAGGAGGAAAATGAGGAGGAGGAGAAGGGGAGGAGAAGGAGGAGGTTGAGAAGGAGGAGGACAATGGAATGGGGAAAGGGGGGAGGCGGAGGAAGAGGAGGAGGGAGGTGAGTAGCGAGGTGGAGGCGCAGGAGGAGAAGGAAGAGGAGAAAGAGGAGGGAAGGAGGAGGAACAATGCGGAGGAGGAGGAGGAGGAGGAGGAGGAGGAGGCGGAGGAGGAGGAGAAGGATGGGAAGGATGAGGGCGCAGGAGGAGGAGGGGGAGGATGAGGAGCTGGAGGAGAAAAAGGAGGAGGAGGATGATGAGGAGGAGGTGGATGATGATGCTGATGCTGATGCTGCTGCTGATGATGATGCTGATGATGCTGATGATGCTGATGATGCTGATGATGATGATGCTGATGATGACGATGATGCGGATGATGATGATGATGATGATGATGATGATGATGATGATGATGATGATGATGATGATGATGATGATGATGATGATGATGATGATGATGATGATGATGATGATGATGATGATGATGATGATGATGATGATGATGATGATGATGATGATGATGATGATGATGATGATGATGATGATGATAAGTCTTTAAGGAGGAGGAGGAGGAGGAGGAGGAGAAGGGGCAGGAGGAAGAGGAGAAGAAGGAGCAGAAGGAGGAGGAGGAAAAGGAGGAGGAGGAGGAGGAGGAGGAGGGGAGTCTGTCGAAGCCTCGTAAAAATCCGCGCGACCCTCACCCGAGGGTGGTATGAGAGGGCGGAAGCACCATAGATACCTCTGGTAGTCCACATAGAGCACCTCGACCGGCCACGGCCGCGCGCCCCGGCAGCGCGCTGCGGCTGAAGGTCACCTGGCCGCGGCGCGCGGCAGCCAGCTGCCGGCCGCCGCCCGAGCCGCCGCTCGCCCCTCCAGCGTCTCCAGTGGCCGCCGTGGGCCGACACGGGCTGCTGGGGTCGCCGCCAGCTCCGCGTCGGCCCCAAGCGGCTGTCGGCGCCGCCCTGCGCGTCAGCGCGTCAGTCAGCTCGGCGGCCTCGCTAACCGGTGTCGAGCCGCGCTGCTGCCGCCGCCGCGGCGGCTCCGCCCGCTAGCCGGCCGCGCGCCGCCTAGCGCAAGCCGGCCGCCTTCCGAAGCTGGGGCGCTGTTGCCGCCTGCAGGCCGCAGGACAAGATCTTGTAGGCCCGCGCCAGCTCGCGCTGCTGCTCGTCTTCGGGCAAGCGCCGCACCTGCCCTAGCAGCCAGAGGCGGCCCTCGGCGCCGAGCCGCCCCCCCGCCTCGAGGACGAAGGGCGTCAGCCGGTCGCCGGGGTAGCGGGCGTGCTTCTCTCGCTCGCCGCGCCTGCTGGCCTCGCCGTCCCGGCGAGCGGCCAGCCGCAGCTCGGCCTGCGTGCCGGCTGCAGGGTGGCGGACGGAGACGTCGAGCCAGTGGGTGCCGTCGTCGTCCTGGTACTGCAGGTCCAGGATCGCTCGCTCGAGTCTGCCGTCGGGGTGCTGGCGGTCCCAAGTCGGCACTCTCTGCCCAGGAGGAGTGAGGAGTGAGGATGATGATGATGATGATGATGATGATGATGATGATGATGATGATGATGATGATGATGATGATGATGATGAGGAGGGAGGAGGAGGAGGAGGAGGAGGAGGAGGGGAGGAGTGGGGCAGGAGGAGGAGGGTGGGGCATGAGGAGGAGAAGGAGGAGTGGGGAGAAGGAGGAGGAGGAGCAGGAGGAGCAGGAGGAGGAGGAGGAGGAGAAGAGGAGGAGGAAGAGGAGGATGGGGAGAAGGGTGGGGCAGGAGGAGGAGGGTGGGGCATGAGGAGGAGAAGGAGGAGTGGGAAGAGGAGGAGGAGGAGGAGGAGGAGGAGGAGGAGGAGGAGGAGCAGGAGGAGCAGGAGGAGGAGGAGGAGGAGGAGGAACAGCAGGGCGCCCACCGAACGCAGATACGCGGACGTGCTGCGGGTTGGCAGCGTGGCGGTCAACGGCGAGGCCGCCGGGATGCACCCGGAGCGGCGGAGCGGGGAGGACGGAGGGAACGGACCAGGGATCGACCCAGACCCCTTCGAGCTGTGAAACATGCGCGAGAGGAGGCGTTTTTGTGTTCTTGTTGTCTGATAAGCCCGTCCACAGGAAAGGGTCCAGACCTCTGGGAGCCCGCGTCAAACAAAAAAAACAAAACGTCCCCAGACCCCCGACGCCGAGCTTTTTTTTCACAACGCCGACCCCCCGAGGTCTGGACCCTTTCCCCGTTTTTGTTTCCTGAGTCGTTGTCTGACGGTCCCGGGGCCCGGTAGTTATCCCCAGAGGCCGAAAATAGCGACTACAAATTAGCCGTCGTGTTTTTCATAACGCGAGGGGTTTTGGGTCGGGGGTCTGGGGTTGGAGCGGCATGCGCTGTTCTAATGGGCGGCGCTGGTACGAGTCGAAGCGGCTGCCGCGCGGCGGGAGTGGTCTTTCATTGCATGCGGAGAGGGGCGGGGGGGAAAGAAAAGGGGGCGCGCAGGGGGAGGAGAACAAAAAAGGCCAGATTCATCCTCTTCGTCCTCTCCTCCCTGTTCCCCCTCCTTTTCCTCCTCCTCCTCCTCCTTCTCCCTTCTCCCTTCTTATTATCATCCCTCCTCCCTCCTCCTCCTCCTCCTCCTCCTCCTCCTCCTCCTCCTCCTCCTCCTCCTCATCCTCCTCACTCCTCATTCCTCACTCCTCACTCCTCCTCACTCCTCACTCCTCACTCCTCCTCCTGCTCCTCCTCCTCCTCCTCCTCCTCACTCCTCACTCCTCACTCCTCCTCACTCCTCACTCCTCACTTCTCCTCGTACTCCTCGCTCCTCCAGCCTCCTCCTGCCGTCCCCTTCCCCTGCCTCCCCCCCCCCCCTCCTTGCCCCACCCATGCCTCCTGCTGGTGGGAGGCTGCAGGACCATCCAGCGTGAGCCCACTCACGAGGACAACGATGACCCTGACGTCGACGACGTTGCCGTCGTTGACGACGACGACGACGACGACGACGACGACGACGACGACGACGACGACGACGACGACGACGACGACGACGACGACGACGACGACGACGACGACGACGACGACTGCGACGTCGACGACGACGACGACGACGACGGCGACGCCCGTCGTCGTCGTCGAGGCCCAACGCGCCGCGGATGCCCACGCCGCCGTGTTTTTTCCCTGCCGTCGTCGTTCTCGCCGCCGCTGCCGTCGTTGCACGGCGACAGCGGCAGCGGAATCGACGGCGGCGGCGGCCAGTATCTGCTAGGTCGTGCGCTGGGGCACCGACACCTCCACGGAGCGACAGCTGTGCGGCTTCTCCGAGGCCTTCTTCGAGAAGTTGCGCGGGCCTTCTCCGCCCTGGGGGAGGTGTCTTCGTCGTTGTCGAGCGTCGCCGTCGGCGCAGGACGAGGGGGTGGAGAAGGAGGAGGAGGAGGAGGAAGAGGAGGGGGGGGAGGAGAAGGAGGAGGAGGAGGAGGGGGAGGAGGGGGGGGAGGAGGAGGAGGAAGAGGAGGAGGAGGAGGAGGAGGAGGAGGAGGAGGAGGAGGACGGGGAGACGTGGGGAGGAGGAGGAGGAGGATGATGAGGAGGAGGAGGAGGAGGACCAGAACAAACCCAAAGGAAGTGAATCAAAGATGCTGAAAGACGTCAACCCGTCCCAAGCTCATTTCTCAGGCGCCCCTCCAGGATTCCCTGCTCACTGCGGGGCATGCCCTATTGAAAGACTAGCGCCCCATCGTCATGCAAGTCAGGCGGACGTCACGTTGGAAACGGGCTGTCCTTCATTTTTCTACCTGCAACGGCTGCGGCGGGATAAGAGCATCAAGTGCAGGGAGGTGTCCAGTGATAGCCCCGCGTTGACAAAGAGCCGCCCTTAATCCGTTCGTGTTTGATGGGGAACGTCTGGACATACAGCATGAGGAAGTCTCAAGCGAGAGCCCCGATTTGAAAAGGAGCCACCCTCCCTCAGCGTAGCTGCTTCTCAGGATTCGTATAAGAATGCTCGCATGGGGAATGCAGCAGAAGTCCCGAACGAACGTTGTGTTTGAAGCAGAAGCGCCCTCCATCCGTCTACCCTTTCAGAATGCCCGACTGTGCGAGGCGCTAAAGAGAGACCCAGATTTTGAAGACGAATCCCATCCATGCATCTAATTGTTGGACGCGTTGAAGGTGACTGTGACGCTCAGGCGTGACGCTCAGGCGAGAGCCACAGTTTTAAAAAGGAATCGCCCTCCATCTGCGGAAACACTGTTCTGCGAATGCGCGTGGCGCTACGGCGGGAACCCCGTTTTGAATATTTCGACATCCCCCCCATCCGTATGACTGAGGGGAAGTTTCCAACACAATGGGCGCGGCGCTAGGGCGAGAACCACGTTTTTGACCACACACGCCTCCATCCGTGAAACTCTGTGGATTTTACAAACGAGTACACGCGGCGCTCATGCAAAAGCCAAGGTATGAACGCGACTCCCCCTTCCACCCATGTATCCGCTGGTATCTTTTTAACTGGATGAGCGCGACATTGAGGCGAGACTCACACTGTGGACACCGTTCTTCTATTCACTCAATGTCTCAGTCTCTGTCTTTCTCTCTCTCTCTCTCTCTCTTTCTCTCCCTCTTCTCTAACGCTTTCTCTCCCCGTCCAGTCTCTGATTCGCCTTTCATCCTCGCTACTCCCTGCACTCTTCATGTTTACTCCGCTCTGCAAGGCTGCCTGCCTCTGTACTTCTGGGATCCCACTTGCTCTTCTCCAGCCCCTCCGCCCTTCTCCTTCCTCCATCCCCGTTCGACCCTGGCGCCCGTCTACATCTCCTTCTGAGATTCATGCTTCCCTTCTTCCCCTTCAACCTCCTTCCTTCTCCATCTCTTGCTCCCCCTCCTTCTCCAGCTCGTCATCCCCCATCCTCGTGTCCCTTCCTCTCCTCTGAGGATGCCCGAACTCGCCAACCTGAGCGACGACGTCATCAAGAGGGCCGTTTACTGGTTCTGCAAGGCACTCTCGTTGTCCGCCATATCCTAAGCATGGGATCCTACGCCTCCGTATCCCTCCTCCTCCCTTCCTCCGGACTTCTACCTCCCCTCTTCACTAATAGCCAGAGTCGCGCATATTCAGACTCGTACTCAGACCCACTCATGTCCAGTCGTTCACTCACAATGAGGCCCACTCATGCCTGCCCAGACTCGTTCACACCTAGCCCAAGTCGTACTCAGACTCACTCGTACTCGTGCTCAGACCCAACTCAGACGCACTCACACCCACTCATTCTCACCAAGCGCTCAGACCCACACATCAGCAGACTCGCTCGTACTCTGCCGCTCATGCTCCGCGAGCTGGCAGGCATCCTACTCGGGCTTCCCCGAAGGGGGTGGACCAACGCGTGCATTGCGGGCCGGTTCGACCCACGTGAACTCATACGAATACCCACTCAATCTCAGATTCGCGAGCATGCAAACTCAAACGCGCTGCGACCCGCTCGCCTTTGCACACATCGTCGCTCACACCAAGTCCACCCAACGTCAGTGTCACGCTTACTCAGTTACTCATACTCCAGGTCGCTGACGCGCAGGTTTACTGGGACTCAAACCCACGCAAACCAGGCCCACTCATACGCATCTGCTCATGCTCGCGGTCTCTCGATCATACTCACCCACTGTTTGGTTCACTCCTGTCTCTCATGCTCATGACAGGCCGTTTTCAGACCCACCCGTTCACATGTCCTAGTCGTACCCGGACTCGCTTGTATCCCGACGCGTCCACACATGTGCATATGTACGTTTACCTAGTCAGCCGTTCTCAAAGTAAATTGCACTCAGTCGCCAGCTCACACATCCGAGCTCTTGCTGTTCGTATCGAGCCCGGCCGCACAAACTAAGCCATTCAATAACAGACACGGCCAAAGCAAGGCCCATTCATATTTCGACCCGCGATGTTCAGCCACGCATGCTCGACAAAACGTACTCTGGGTCGCTCACGCTCAGACCCATTTGCACTAATGTTCACTTGTACCTAGTCTCACTCATTCCCCTGCCCACCCCCACCCGGATTCAGTCATACAAGCCAGTTCTACATAGGTCGGATTGTTTTCAGAATCCGCTGTTGCCCAGGACTTCATATTTGGGCATACGCGCAACCAGACTCGTTCATACCGAGGCCAGCTTGTTTTCCTCCAGATTTGATCCCGCCAGCCACACTCAGCCACCCAACCCCAGACGTGATCTCGCACCCACTCTTGCGCAGACGGTCGTATACCCGCTGATTCACAGACCCTCCATTGTCAGGCAATCAAAAATCAATGCGCTACCGCCAGATGTGGCCATTGGGTTGGGAGGAGGGGCGAATACGCAATGACCGATATCAGTGAGACGGAGCACGAGAACGATCGCGGGGCTAGCGAACGGAGCAAACGCGGGCAACATACAGGGATGTAAGGCGAGAAAGGAGGATCGGATAAGGAGCAGGTTGATGACGAGGAGGACGTATGGGATGGGAGGGGGAGGAGGAGGAGGGAGGAGGAGGAGGAGGAGAAAGGATAGGTCGTATGGGGTGGGACGAGGAGGAGGAGGACGAAGGAGGACGTATGAGGTGGATGATGAGGAGGACGAGTGGGTGACAGAGTGGAGACAGGAGAAGGAGACTTCTGGGGTTGGGGTGGGGCGGAATATGGAGAGCCAGGAGGCAATGGGGGAGGATGAGGAGGAGGAGGAGGAGGAGGAGAAGAGGAGGAGGAGGAGGAGGAGGAGGAGGAGGAGGGGGAGAAGGGGGAGGAGGAGGAGGAGGAGGAGGAGGAGGAGGAGGAGGAGGAGGAGGTGGAGAGAGGAGGAGGGGAGGAGGAGGAGGAGGAAGAATGGAGGAGGAGGAGGAGGAGGAGCAGGAGGAGGAAATGGAGGAGGAGGAGGAAGAGGAGGAGGAGGAGGACGAGGAGGAGGAGAAGGAGGAGGAGAAGGAAATGGAGGAGGAGGAGGAGAAGGAGGAGGAGGAGGAAATGGAGGAGGAGGAAGAGGAAGAGGAGGAGGAGGGGGGTCAGCGCCCCCGCCTGGAAAACAGAGCACGGACAGTCACAGCACGTCGGCCGGAGGAGGCACGCGCGGCGGCCTGGCGGAGCCCGCCTCGCCACGCTTGCCCTTTTGCAGCCTCTGCGGTGGTTGCTTAGGGGATGATGGACTTCGAAGTGGATGCTGAAGTGGGCTTTAGCTGGCCTGGCACAACTTTATGAGTGGGTAGCAAGTGTTCTATGTGGCTCGGGGTGACGAGGCAACTCCGCGAACTGGGCTCCGCCCACTTGGCCCACATCTGTGCGCCCGTAAGCCACTTAGGGCAAGTGTAACCCACTTCTAGGCTGGGTTCGGCTGGATAGAACCACATTAGCATCCGCTTGTCTCCCCCCATCCTATCAGCGACCCTGGCGGCGATCCAAGTACCCCACCACCCCACTATTTCAGAGGAGGGAGGTGGGATTCACTTCGTTCGGGACCTCCCGAGCGAAGTGAACCCCACCTCAGCCCTTAAGAGTCGTGGGGTGGTGTGGTCGGATTCGCATGTGGCCTCCTGCCTCTGCGACCGCCTCGCCACGGGGGACCAGCACGCCGCCCGCCTGACAAGCCCGGCGGCGGCTTTCGCACTACAGGTGTTCCCAATGTCCTCCGCCGTCTGTCAAAGAAGGAAAAGGTACCCATACCGCTACCCTTCGCCCGTTTTCCCCCTTTTCGGCCTCCTGGGAGGCTCTCGTCGTCACCGCTGGACTCGCTCGAAATGCTGGTCAGAACGCACCCAAGGAGAGGTCCGGGTAGTAGAGGTATCGGCACCTTTTGGTTTCCCCAGTCTGGTGGGGAGCAACGCCAAGCGAATCGAACGCCTGAGTCGTGCGTGCTCCTTTGAGATCTCTCCTGTGCCAGTTAAGGCATGGCGTGGAGGCCGTAGCCTCGACAGGGAACTAGTTTTTTTCTCTAGCTAATGAAACATATGCCCGCTCACGTGATGACAGACGCAGCCTGCTGGGAAGGAGGGCCCTGGAGTCGCTGAAGCATGGAGGCCTGACGGCAGCGCTGGTGACACAGCATGTCGTCATTTGCCATTGGGGCGGGCACGCAGCCACGACGGGGGCCACCCCTGGACGTGGCCTTTCTGGCGCTCGGCGCGGCAAACGCCTGCTTGAGTCACCACTGTGTGCCGCGGAGGCTGCCCAGGTGAGCCAGGGCCGCGGCGCCAGAACTCCCTTCGTCTAGGCCTCCTGGATGGGGTCGGAGTAGGTGGAGTCGGGGGATCGCGCCGCATCGCCGATGCGACTCGATGTGGAGCCCGTGTTTCCCCACGCCGACGTCGCCGATGCATCGCCGACGTCGCCGATGCATCGCCGATGCTTCGCCGATGCATCGGCGATGCATTGGCGATGCTTGGCGGTTATTCGACCCAATCTACTCGGACCCCCTCTAGGAGGCCTCTACCTCCCCTTTGCGATCGTATTTGGCGGCCGGTGTTCTTGTTTTCGTTTGTTTGACAAAAGCGGTTAACTCTTCCACCTCTGAGTGGCCTTCTCTTCCCCTCTCCCCCCGCGGCCGCCCGCTCTGCCCTCTTCCTACTCGTGCATGCTGGCCAGTGCGCCTTCTGGTGCCCCCGTCCAGCTCGATCGCTGGTGCAGCCAATTCTGCCTCGCGGCCGACGGAAAAAAGTGTGAAAACAGCGGAGGTGACCAGTGTTTCTTGCTTCTGTCCTGTTCTGAGAAAATCGGGGATGACCAAGGAACTCCTCCCCGTTGCGCGCGTATTTGGACGCCGGTGTTTCTTGCCTTTGTTTATTCTGTCTGTTTGTTTGTTAGCTTGAGTTTGTGCTCTGCGGGCGGTTGCGACCAGGCGACCCGCTGGCCGCGCTCCTCGTTGCTCGCCTGACTGAACTGGAAGGGCCGCTGCAAGGGGCCGCGTCCGCCGGCCCCCTAGGATGGAGCGGTCGCAGAGCACGAAGACTGCACGGAGTCGAGCCGGAGCCGCCGCTAGGGCTCATCTCGAAGAAGAAGAACGGCATGAACATCATTTTGTGGCGCTCTGCGCGGATCTCTCGGATCCGCGCTGGACCCCCCTCCCTGGCTTGAGGAGGCACCTGTCGATTCGGAAACACACCAATGGAATTGCCTTGAGTTTCTTGCGCGCGCCACCGTCCGCTACAGCGTCCCGTGCGACTTGCGCAGGCTGGTGGCGGCCGCAGACGGCGACGGCGCCGTCAACGCCGACACGGAGGTGGCCGGCTGCGCCGCTACGCGGGGCACCGAGCGCCATGGCCGGCGCCCCCCGCTGGCGCACGAGAGAGCGAGAGAGAGAGAGAGAGAGAGCGATCCCTGAGATCCGACGTTGCGAACAAATTCAACATCGCAAGCATTCACGACCGGAGCCCCCGCCCCCATCTGGTTGCTTCGTGTTTCGAGCCAGATCGATCTGTGAGGGTCCAGGGGCCCAGACCGGGGCGAAAAAACCCTTCGTGAAGAATTGCAGCGCCAGGGTCTGAGGGATGGTTCCGGCGCCTCCGCTGGCTCGGGCGCGACCAGGCGCGGGACCTCTCGAGTGGGGCGTCGACTGCAGATACAGAAATGATTTACCCCAAAATTGACTCCTTCGTCCAGTCATACGTAGAAAGGACGTAGATCGACGAACACCCTGGGAATTTTTCATATTTCGACCAACAGATTCTGGGGTGCATCGATTCTATAGCCGATCCCTTCCTCGAGCCCCGGGGACGGCCTCGCAACGGCAGCGGCCGCCAGCGCAGTGGCGCAGCCGTTGGCCGCCGAGCGGTGGCGCGGCCTTCCGTTCGGCGGTGCCTGCACCGCCGTTGGCGGCACCAGCGCCGCGGAGGCCGCGGCCGGGCTGGCTGCGGAGCACGGGGGAAGGGGCAGGTGGAGATGTTGAAGTCTTGGCCCCCTCCCTTCCCTCCTCCCCCTCCTCCATATCCTCCTCCTCCTTCTCTTCCTCCTCTTCCTTCCTTTTCCTTATAATCAGCTTCTCTCTGTCGCACCCCGAGACTAGTTTTTAGGGCGGGCCGGGCGTTTCGCTTGAGACTTCCTCACCACTTATCATTCTGAAGCTTAAGAATTGGCAACCATTTCACACATGGAGGGCGGGTCGTTTTCAAAATGTGGCTCTCGCTTCAGCGCGGCGCACATTCGGTTTAACAAGTTTCAGGAGTTTCGCTGATTGATGGCAGGTGGTTTTCAAGAATGGGAACCCGCCTAAGCGCGGCGCGCTTATTTGTTATTGCAAATTGCAAGAGCTTCACGGATTGAGGGCGGGTCGTTTTCAAAATGTGGCTCTCGCCTCAGTGCCGCGCAGATTTGTTTTGAACATGTGAAAGAGTCCCACGGATTGAGGGCGGCTCCTTTTCAAAATGCGGTTCTCGCTTTAGCGCCGCGACCATTCGCTTTATACAGTTACAAGAGTTTCACGGATCCCCATCATCAACGTACCAGAAATGATGATTTGGACGGATTTGGGATTATGCGGGTGCAACCGTTACGTTGGTTCTCAGTGTTGAAGTCCTGGGAATGGGCGTTTTGGCACGGTTCAGGATCGTCTAGACAGTCAGGTTGATCCGTGGCGCTGGAATCCCGATAACAATGTTTTGGCATGTTTCAGGGACTTCAAACGTGTGCCTTCCAACGAGGCAGTTCCATCAATGGTGAATAACCGTTGTAGGGGCCTGTGAAGAGGGAGCTTGGAGGGAGGGTTTACTCCAACATCGTTGATGACTCCTGGGTTTACACTGGTCCTCCTCCTCCACCTCATTTTTCTCCTCCTTTTCCTCCTCCTCCTCCTCCTCCTCCTCCTCTTCCTCCTCCTCCTCCACCATCGCGTCGCGGAAAGGAAGGATTTCCGTTCTGTTCTGCCTCTGGTGATTCTTTGCCGTGCCCAGGACCGTCAGAAAACGGCTCAGGATAAGCAGCTTGTCCCGGGGAAGGGGTCCAGACTTCTGGGGGATGCAGTTGTGGAAGAAACATGACGTCGGGGGATGGAGGAGGACGTTGAAGGAGGAAACGGGCGGCCATCATGGTTGCCATGGTGGCGAAGGACGCCAGTTAGTGACCCAGGGGCGTTTGTGACAAGGGGGCATGTTGATCTTCATCTCCCCCTTTCTATCCCCCTTCCCGTCACTCAAGACGGTCCTTTCCTCCTCGTGTGCAGAGTGTGTATGGATATCTCCGAGATGAGCACCCGCTTATGTACTGGCAGATGCTTTGGCTTAGCGTGTCACTCCGCCAGTTCTGGCCCACCACGCTTCGGCACAAAACGCTATCCGCTCGCAGGGCACAGCGTGTCGCTGGGGCCGCCGCAGTGACACGTTTAGTACAAGTTTCTGACCGTATTGGTGCAAGCGCGGTACCAGGCCGACGGGCCGAGGATGAGGAGGAGGAGTAGGAGCAGGAGCAGGAGCAGGAGCAGGAGGAGGAGGAGGAGGATGGAGGAGGAGGAGAAGGAGGAGGAGGGGGAGGAGGAGGAGGAGGAGGGAGGTGGAGGAGGAGGAGGAGGAAGGAGCAGGGAGCAGGGATCAGGGAGGAGGGGAGGAGGGAGGAGGAGGAGGAGGAGGAGGAGGTCGAGAAGGAGGGGAGGAGGAGAGGAGGGAGGAGGAGGAGAGGAGGAGAGAGGAGGAGGAGGAGGAGGAGGAGGAGGAGGAGGAGGAGGAGGAGGAGCAGGAGCAGGAGCAGGAGCAGGAGCAGGAGCAGGAGCAGGAGGCCCCTGTCGACAGCAGGAGGTGGTCGGTGCAGGGGCAGGGTGGGGCGCACGGGTCGCGCGGTCGTGGACAGCGAGATAGCGCGGGCAGACATCCACCGACCGCCCGCAGAAGCCAGTGGAGCGTTAGGAGTCCGACGAGGCACGCACACTCATTTCTGGGGATGGGGGCGCCTACGGACAGGCACTTTTGAATAGCGTGCCGCATCGCCGGCTCTGGCCTACCACGCCTCGGCGCGACACGCAGTATCACCCCCACTCCAGTCCACAGGCGTCAACATCCCGAGCCTTTCCGACCCTCCCAGCCCGCGGAGCGGACCGACACGCTACCCGCTCGCATGGCACAGCGTGTCGCCAGGGCCGCCGCCACGACACGCTAGGCAAAAGCTTCCAGCCGTAAGTCTCAGATTCAGACGGGGCCCGCGCGGAAACGTTGAGGAACACGATTGGGGGAGAAGGGTTTTGCCTCGCTTCCAGAGGCAGTGTCCATCAACTACGCTCTCATGGAGGTCCTGCTGCTGATCAAGGAGAAGGTCCAGCTTCCTAGTTCTCGTCCATCTCGTCGTATTCTGCTGGCCTAATATCTCTCAGCACGGCTGGCGGCATGCGACAGTATTGAAGCAGCAGCCTCGTCCTCCCCCTACTGCTGCTGCTCCTCCTCCTCCCTGGTCTCACTCCTTTCCCTCGGCTCCCTCACCTTCAAGCTCCTCTCCCTTCCCTCGTCCTGCCTATTCTCCCCAGGAGTGGGAGGGGCCATGCTTCCGCGCCAGCCGCCCCCGCTCGTTTTGCCTCGATGCCACCAGTGGCCCGGCATCGACCAGTATCGAGCGGCCTGCGATGTGGGAACGCCGCGACCGCTCAAGGCTGAACGATCCACGCGGTCTCTGAGGCCGCCGCCCGGGTCGTCACGACATGATGCAGCCTGATTCCACGCACGTTCCGATCTGACCCGATTTCCCGACTCACACGTTGCTGATCCCGCCCTTCTACCGTACTGCTGCACGTAGGCCTCCCTCTCCCCGCAGAGGTCGGTGCCATGTGCACCATCGAGACCCGGGACGACGAGGGCGGTCTCGTCACCTACTCCGCCGACGTCAGCGGGGAACCACCCTCACAGGCCCGACCTCCCCTGTTGGAATACCCTGAGATCTGGGCGTTGCAGTGTGCCAGTTCTGCCAGTGCAGGGCGTGCGCAGTCGCGCCAGGCAGGGCGTGCCAGACAGCGCGCGCCAGTGCTGCCAGTGCAGGGTGTGCGCAGTCGTGCCAGGCTGGGTGTGCCAGGCAGGGCCAGGCAGGGGCACGGTGTGCCAGTTGTGCAAGTGCAGGGTGCGCGCAGTCGTACCAGGCAGGGCGCGCCAGTTTCGCCACAGCAGGGTGGGTGCGCATGCGCAGTCGTGCAGGCAGGGTGTGCCAGGCAGGTCCAGGCAGGGTGTGCCAGTTCTGCCAGAGCAGGGTGTGCGCAGTCGTACAGGCAGGGTGTGCCAGGCAGGTTCTTTGCCGCCACGGGTGCCAGTTTACTACGTACGTGCGTATTCGTGTGCTTGTGCGTGTGCGTGTGCGTGTGCGTGTGTGTGTGTGTGTGTGTGTGCGCGTGTGAGTGTGTGAGAGAGAGAGAGAGCCCGTCGCGCCGGGGCTCCTTCTGCTCCTTCCGTGTATTGTGGGCCTAACTTGAATACAGCGCGTTCCCTGTTGCCTATCCGCTGGAGCAGTCGACCTCTGCCCAGCCGCCGACGCAAAAGGGTGTGTGTGTGTGTATTTGTGTGTGTGTTTGTGTGTTTGTTTTTGTGTGTTTGTGTGTATGTGTTTGTTTGTGCGTGTGCGTGTGCGTGTGCGTGTGCGTGTGCGTGTGCGTGTGTGTGTGTGTGCGTGTGTGTGCATGAGTTTGTGTGTGAGTGTGAGTGTGAGTGTATGGCGGCCAGGCTTCATCGGAGTCTTGCGCGAGGCTCGGGTCGGGACGGGGCCTCTGCTCGGGGAACCTGTTCGAGGAGGAATTGCTCGAGTTGCCAAGTCGCAACCGTCTGCACCCAGGGGGTCGGCCTATTCAAGTGCTCCGCGATGGGATGGGCAGGGGGCAGGAAGCCGGGAAATGGACCAGCAAGGCGGGTTACCATTGACCTTCACACCGTCACGTGCGTGAACAGCGAAAAATATCACCCTGAAGCTGGAGTATAAGCGTTCGCCTTTATCGCGGAGTTTTTCGCCTCACTGGTGCGGACTTTATTTTCGCCCAACCTCCTCCTGTAGGAGGACATGCCCGACCGAATCATAGGAGGGCGATCAGTAGTTGGGGGGCTGAAGCCAGTAGCGTTAATCCGATCCCCATCTCCATCGCCTTCGAGACCCCCATCAAATTACCACCCCAGTTGGGGATACACCCTTAGAAACCCGATGAGAACGACCTATATCCCTATCTAGGGGGGTAAATCGGCCAGTGGGGCCCAGGCCACGCCGCTGGGGATGGGGATCGGTTAGACGATGCTCATGAAAGCCGCAGGACAGGGGCCCAAGAAGGCCCCTCCCTGGGGCCCCGAGGGTTCCCAGAAGGCGTGCATGCCTTCACCCCACACCAATATTTGCCCCCCCCCCCCCCCCCCTCCCAGTAAGCGGCGCCCGAGTAAACCGGAGGAGGACAAGGTACCCATACCGCTACCCTTCCTTCTTTTTCGCTTCCTTGGGCCTCTTGGGAGGCCCTCGTCGCCACCGCTGGATGCGCTTCGAAATCCTGGTCAGAAGGCTCCCCTGGAGAGGTCCGGGAAGTAGCGGAATCGATACCTTGTGGTCTCCCCAAGTGAAGGTGTATGTGTGTGTGTGTGTGCGTGTGTGCCTGTGTGTGTAGAGAGAAAGAGAGAGAGAGAGAGAGAGAGAGAGGACTGCCCGCTCACTGCGGAATTCTTCCGCCTCTGAGCACCTGCCCCCCTGCTCCCCCCGCGCGGCCGCTCCCTCTCCTCCCTCTCGCTCTCCCGCATGCCCAACACTTTGACGATCGGTGCCCCCGATGCGCCCGACGCCGGTGCGGATCGCCTCCGCCTTGCAGCCGACGAAGCAAGTGTGCAGAGGGCCCCGGCGCCGACTCTCCGGGCACGGCCGAGGGGGCCGAGGCAGCAGGGAGCAGCACACTCTCAGCGCGCGTGTGCCCGGACGGGTGCAGCCTCTGCCGGCGGGGGCTCGGGGCAGTATTCTGGTGGGCAGCTCCTGCTTCGCGCTCGCCCGCGCCACAGCACCTGAAAATGCTTGCACAAGTGCGGCTACGCCGTGATGATGATAACGAGGATGAGGATGGGGATGAGGATAAGGATCAGAATCAGGATGATGATGAGAATGATGGTGATGATGATGATGATCATGATCATGATCATGATGAGTGTTGGTAGTAAGTATACCAGTAATCATACTCATAATACTACTGATAATACGAATAACAATAACAATGATACTAGTACTAATAAGAATGATGATAATGATGTGCATGGTGATGGTGGTGGTGGTGATGATGACGACGACGTCGACGGTGATGATGAGGATGAGGATGAGGATGAGGATGATGATGATGATGATGATGATGATGGTGATGATGACGATGACGTCGACGGTGATGATGATCGTCTTGGTGATGGTGATGGTGAGCCGCCGACTTGCCCATCTACCCAGCCAAGAGAAATCCCAGCGGACCTCCGAAATCTTATGTGTGCGTTGGTGGTTGTTTTTGTCTACTGGCATTCTCGGCCCTTCGGCCGATCCGTCGGTGATGTTGGGCGTCCTGGCATGTTGCGTGGACGTCCAGACATCCTGCACCCTTAACCCCTGCGTCCTGCGTCAGACATTGCAGGCACGACGCTGAAACAAAGGGCCGCGTTGGGCTCAGGAGGGGCTCGTGCTTCCAGGCCGTTCCTTTGATTTCTGTCTCGGAGCATGCTTGTGGCCTATCCCCGCCGTGGCCCGAAAAGCCCTTCGTTCCTCTTCATGTGCTCCTTACGTATGGTAGCACGATCGCTGTAGTGCGTAAGCCTTGGTCCAGTCCTTAGCGGACCCTGGAAACGACAGGGCCGTTTTTACTGGTTTTGTTTTGCAATCTGTTTCAGGGCTCTGGCGCTGTTTTTGTTGTCCGGTTCCGTCGCGGTTGTGTTCCTGGTTCTGGCCCTGGCGCCAATCCCGTAGCCATTCTTTTGCCGTTTCCGGTCGCCGTTTCTCTACCGCTTCCACTTTGCAGGGGCATTCTTCGCAAACGGTGAAAAAATCCCTGCCTTCCCACTGATCGGGAGCACCCCAACATAGAGGTACGAGGTGTGCGTCGCCCTCCCAGGGGGCGACGCGCACACCGAGAGATTTTACAGTACCTGCGTCGTGGCGGGCGCTTCCTGGCCGTGCCGCTGGGGAGATGATCTACTACAAGATTTGTGCACGAAGCGTTCGGCGCGGGCGCGCGCCTCCGGGGAGGACGCACAGTACCAGTATGCCTCTGCGCGTCCCAGCTGAGGCCGAGTCCCCTCCGCCGCAGGCCTCCCACCTCCCTCCTCCCGTCGGCGGGGGGCAACTTCTTCGGGGAGCCCACTGGGGTTCAGGGCCCCGATCTTTTCTTCTTTGGAGGATAAACCGGTGGTGGCGTAAGTGGTGGATCCTCGTGAGGTCCCATGCGCCACCCACCGGTTTCCCTCGTGGGACGAGCACGCAAGACAGCGAAGCCGAGCGTCGCATCATCATCCTCCCGTCGGCGGGCGGAAGGATGGGAGCCGCCCGCCCCTCGCGAGGTCATGCGCGTGCGGATGGCCTGGCGGAGCGGCAACAACATCGTGTACCGCGACCCCCTGTCGTCCGAGAAGAAGGCCCCGGCACCCTCGCGGGGAGGCCGAGGGGCCAGGGCGTCTGGTGCTCGTTTCGGGGGACCTTCCGGGGGCACACCGGATGGATCGGGTCGACTCCTGTTCGACGCCAGCTCGACGCAAGTTTGACCCAAGCTCGACTCAAGTTCGACTCAGGTTCGACTCGGGTTCGATTCGAGTCGACGGACGTTCGACGCAGCTTCGACGCAGCGGAGCGATTGGCTCCAAAGAGGTTCCCAGAATGAGCATCTAAAGGGCGTAGAGGGCAAGTCGACGTGGACTGCATGATGCTGATCACGTGCGGCCAAGATCGAGGTCGGTTCGTGGAGGGTGCCCTGATTCTCTTCGTGCTCGTTGGGTGTTCTTGTGCATCCTGGGGGAGGGTACCCTCGACCGGCCGGCGGAGGATCTCGTGTTCTTGAAGGATGTTCTTCTGTCGCAGGTCCAGCCGTCATGCCCAGAATTCCTTGCCTCTCTCCCGCTCCTGTTTATCCGACCTGCTCAAGAGGTCGTCCTGAGCTTCCTCGACTCCTGCTCGTCTCAAGCCCGGGGCCATCATCACCCCACGCTCTTCTTGTCTCTCTCTCTGTGCCTATCCTCTCCTGGCGCCTGCGCGACCTGCCCCTCAATTGGGTCAATTGCAGGAGGTGCGATCTGGCGGGGTAACAAGGTCCCCCCCCTTCTCCTGCTCCGGCTCCTCGTTCCTTCTCCCAGCTTCTAACCTTCAATTTGTACTATTTCCAGGGGAGGGTAGGGGAGCATGGAAGAAACAGCTGTGGATCCCGCACCCCCACCCCAACCCGAAATTCGGGTCTTCGGGATGGGTTGGGGTCGTCTGGTAGGCAGTCAGTTTCTGGGTCGTCTGCCCCATATTCTGCCAGGAGGAGGAGGACGAGGAGGAGGAGGAGAAGGACCAGGAGGAAGAGGAGGGGGAGGACCGATGCGCGCGCGCGTGTGTGTGTGTGTGTGTGCGTGTGTGTGTGTGTGTGTGTGTGTGTGTGTGTGTGTGCGTGCGTGCGTGCGTGCGTGCGTGCGTGCGTGCGTGCGTGCGTGCGTGTGTGTGTGTGTTGTGTGTGTTGTGTGTATGTATGTTGTGTGCGTGTGCGTGCGTGCGTGCGTGCGCGTGTGCGTGTGTAGTATGAGTGCCTTCGGCGGGCGCCCGTGCGGACGGCCCCTGCCGTGCTGCGACGAAACAAGTGTGCATGTGCCTTGGCATTACGTGGGTCCCTCTACAGGAGTAATATTCAAAAGCAGTACGAAAATAGTCTGGGGACGACTTCTTAAGCAATTTTGGACTAGTTAGGGGTATTTGTTTGACTACTTTTTTTTCGTCCAGAATCCACCTGTAGGAGGACACGCCCGACCTAACCTTAGCATCGGTCTCCAACAAGAGGCTCGTCTTCCATCCGGGGTCGCACCTTGGAGCGCCATTCGGCCGCAGCACACTCTCACCTGTATGGGGCACGTGTCATGGACGAGGTACCTTCTTCCAAGAGCGTAAGCCCCGCAAGATGTGGTGGGGGGGGGGTCTGCTCTCGCGTAAGCTTTCTTTGTATTCCGCCAGGGGGCACCCGAGCAGTGGTTCGCACGCAGATGTGAAGGCAGCGCGCTGGCGGAGGGCGAGAGAAAAGGATGACGAATGTGGCTACCAGTGCCCCCATAGCCTATGCTTTCGACAATGTTTATAACTCTCGGCTTTCGACTCGTACCTGTTGTATCTACTGTCTACCCTTCCCCTGCACATGTGACCTCTTCCATCTATTCTCCGCTCGCTACCCTCTACTCGATACTGTACGCTCTATATTCGATATCTGGTCTTTGCGCTGTATGTTCTGTGCTATGCGTCCTCTGCTCTGATCTATTATATCTACGCAAGCTATGTACAGGATGCTCTCACTCCCTCTCTGTGACATGTGCACTCTTTCTTGTCGTTTCTCCCTCCCTCTCTCTCTCTCTTCCTCTCCTTTTGTCTCTTTCAATCCGTACTGTCTGTCGCATCCCTGTTCTGTACTCTCTCGCCATTCAGTGCTGTCTACCCTGGGGGCCCCGGAACCCTGCCGCCCACCACAAGCGGCGAGAGGAAATCATCTTCCAATACCCAGAACGGGTACTTCACCGGGAAAGCTGGCCGCCCATCGTCATCGTCGGAACAGTTTTTCCTCCACATCTCTGCAACACCTGGGAGCCGAGAAACCGGGGGCACAGATGCCCGGCCGCCCCCCGAAGTCGCCCGGAGTGCTGCACGGGGGGCTGAAACCTCATGCATTGCGTGTGTTTGATTCTACGCACTGTGTGGAGAAGTTCGAAGGCCAGCGTTGACTCTGAAGCACCTGGCTATACAGCAAAGCCCCGTCCACATAGCGTTTCTGCCATCGTTCTTGGTCATCGGCGGGAGATTCGTCGATCTCTGCGCCATTCCGACGGATTGCTTCCGCGCCCGAGTGCACAATCTCAGTTTCGATGTTCTCCCTGTATCGAAGAGGATCAACCCCACTAGATCGGAACAAGACATTCGAACTCCCTTTTTTTATCTTGAGACCACTCAAGTCATGAGCATGCTATGGTGCCCTAGTGCATTACGCCATGCACATGCTTCCACAACTTATGTTACGTAATCCGAGTCAGTGATGAAAAGGCGAAGGAGTAGGAGAAGAAGAAGGACGAGGAGGAGGAGGAGAGGGACGTCGAGGCAGGGAGGAACCGATTACCAGGATGACGGAGAACGAGGAGGAAGAGGAAGGAGGAGGAGAAGGGGAGCTGGAGGAAATGCAGAAGCATCCGAAGAGGAGGTGCCCCTGCGTCAATCCTCCGCCCCCTCTCCTCCTTCCTCAACGGCCCTCCTCCCTCCATACCCTTCCCCCTCCATCCCCTTAGACCCTCCCTGCGTCCGTCGCCCCCCTTCTTCCCCCCGGATCTTTCATCCCCCCTCCTCCCGTCCTACACCCCTTCTTCCCCCTCCTCCTTTTCCTTCTCCTCCTCCCCCTCCTCCCCCTCCTCCTTCTCTTACCTGCCTGCGGAGGGTCCACTGAGGGCTTCAGACCCTCCTCTTCCTCCTCCTCCTCCTCCTCCTCCCTCCTCCCTCCTCCCTCCTCCTCCCTCCTCCTCCGTCCCCCTCCCCGAGTACCGTTGTGAAGACCTTGCGCCACACTGCGTGTAGGTTGGAAGAAGACCTTGTGAAGACCTTGCGCCTAGGGTGCGCCCCTACGTGCGACACCGTCCTCCCCCTTCATCCCGGTCCGCGGTCCTATCCTTCCCGCTCCCTCCTGGGGGAGGAGCGCACCGCCCCCCTTCCTCAGGTCAAGGGCACCATCTCCTGCCTCGAGGCCGGCGCTGTTTTTGGACCCCGTGGTGTCTCAATTTCTCCGATGGGGCGTCCCCCTTCCCCCGCTCGGTCCACCGCCGAGGAGAGCGATGGAGGAGGGAAGAGCGTAGGAGGAACGTAGGAGGAGGAGGAGGAGGAGGAGGAGGAGGAGGAGGAGGAGGAGGGAGGGAAGAGGGCTCGTGGGGAGTGGCGGCGGGTCCTCCTTAGACCCCCCCCCCTTGGGCCCCGCCGCCGGTTGGTCGAAAAATGATAGGGCTGACGAGTCCCTTCGACGACATGTAAGAGGAGTGATCTTTCGTTGGAGTGACCTTCGGTGCTGGCTCCAAGGGGGTCGGTTGATATTTTTCTTTTTTCGCGTCGGCGCCTTTGAGCTCGTGTCGGAGCGCGCCAGGTTTGGGCCCCCCCCCTCTGCAATCGGCAGCAAGGCATGCGCGGCGGTTTCCCGAGGGGGCCGGTCGACCAGACGGCGCGTTTTCCGCCCCAGGACCAGTCCCGAATCCCAGCCCACGTCCCGAATCGTATGGTTTGACTATTTTTGGATCTATTTGGATCTTTGTGAGTACGGTTGATGAGTATGTTTGAACATATTTTGAACACATGGGGATCTTTACAATTCCATGTTGCACGTCCAAGTAAATCCAAACGTATTCCAGGCCCGCAGATGTGGCCCGTTTTGTCCAAGATACCGGACCTGGTCAGACGTCATCGCGATGCGGTCCGGCAGTGCAGGACCTCCTCGCGGTGGCTTCGGCAGCGTCTGCTTTCGCAGCGCCTTCGAAGTGTTTCGGGGCGTTCGAATCCAATTGGCGGAAGTCCACGGTTGCCCGTTGGCGCAAAAAGTCTTTCCAGTGGCGCCTCGCCGATCGTTGACGCGGCGCGGCAGCACTGGCTTGCGCGGTTGCGTTGGGTACCCACGGGCGTTTCTGAAGCCGCGTGCCAAAGGTCACTCTAGCCTGGGGTCACCCCTACGTGTAGTCGATCCCTGGCCTTGCTGAAGGCTGGCGAGGAACCGCGTTCGGGGGCGGTTTTCGGGTGCAGCTCCGTTTTCTTGCTTTGTCGTTCGGTCTCCCATGCCGCGGCTGCGCTCGAACGTCCTGGAAGAAGTGGGTGGATGAGCAGACGTAGCAGAAGCAGCTGTAGCAGCAGCAGGAGCAGTTGGAGGAGGACTCAGCGTTCCCAAAGTGCCAGTTGAGCATTCGGAGGTGGTGTTCGGTTCGAGGGTGAGGAAGCAACAAGCCACAAGCCAACATATTCGGTCGATCCGTCCCCCAGGTCGCAAGAAGGAGCACTGTCAACTATTTTCAGACGACTCGGGTTTTCGAGTTCGTGGCGCTTCGAGGCTGCTGTGCCGCCCAGACTCTCTACATATCAGTTGAGACCTGCGGCTGACCAAAGCCACAAAATATTAGGTCCACGCCACGTCGTGTTTTTGAGCTTTCTCTTCCTCTCGACATCCGTAGTCGTGCACATCTTGAATGTTCCGAGCGTCGGGGTGTCTTTTTCGATATTCACGTGCTCAATGTCAATATCTTGATTGTTCGATTCTCTCAGACGGCGTATGTACTTCTCGCTTTCCTGATTTATCGAAGACGCATACGGCGAATCACCGCCGCCCCCTGCCCCTTTGGAAGCGCCTCTGTGGCCGACAGCTGGGCCAGAGCTTGGCCAAGCTATCGGGCCAGTTGTTCCCCGAGTCGGTTTGGAAATATTTCGGGGAACGCGTGGGGTAGCAAGAAGAGGAGGAGGGGGAGGATGAGGAAAAACGAGGAGGAGTAGGAGGAGGAGGAGGAGAAGGAGGAGGAGGAGGCCTCTGGGGCTCCTCTGGGGGCACTCCTGGGGGCTCCTGGGAGCTTCCTGGAGGCCTCTTGGAGGCTTCTTGGGTGCCTTTGGGGGCTTCTTGGGTGCCTTTTTGGCTGTCTTAGGGTGTTCCTGGCTTGTGTGACGCCGTCGGACGCCGTCTTGGGGGCCTGTCTGGGTCGTCTTGGGGCCCTCTTGGGGCATATCATGGGTTCTTAGAGGCCATCTTGGGCGTCTTGGAGGCCTCTTGGGCCGTTTGGGGCCCTCTTGGGGCCGTCTGGGAGCCTTTTGGGCCGTCATGGGGCCATCTTGGAGGCCTCTTGGGCGGTCTTGGGGGCCTCGTGCGCCGTCTTGAGCCGCCGAACGGCCGAACAGAAGCAACTGCCAATATCTTGCAAAAGCCTTAGGACAATCAATGATTGTGGCGTCGTCGTGCCCTCCTGGAAATCCTCCTGGACGCCTTCTGGGCCGTCTTGAAGGCCTCTTCGGGGCCTCTTGGGGGTCTCTTGGGCCGTCTTGGGCCATCTTGAGGCCATCTTAGGCCGCCTTGGGTGCATCTTCGGCCGTCTTGGAGGCATATTGGGGCCATCTTCGCCGTCTTGAAGGTCATTTTGGCCGTCTTGGAGGCCCGTTGGGCCCTCTTGGGGCCGTCTTGGGGGCCTCTTGGGCCGTCATGGGGCCATTTTGGCGGCCTCGTGGGCGATATGGTGTCTTGGATGTTTTGGGGGCCTCTTGGAGCCTGATTTGGGCCTCTCGGAGTCTCTTTGGGGTCTCTTGGCGCCTATTTGGCGCACCTCGGGGGCTTCTGGGGGAATCTTGGGGCCATCGTGGGGCAGAGGGCTCCCTTGGGGCCATCTTCGTGGCCCTCTTGGGGCCGTCTTGGGGACCGCTTGGGCCCCTCTTGGGGGCTCCTTTGCTGTTTTGTTGCGATCTTGGACGCCTCTTGGGCCATCTTGGACGCTCTGAAGACCGAAAAGGCGGTATGGAGGATCTTGGACGATCTTGGGCCGCATGCGACAATTCCACACACGTCTTTGGATTTTGACGATGTTGGCTTCTTGGGCCGCCCGTCGGGGCCTCGAAGACGGCCAAAGAGGCACCCAGGAGGGCTTCAGGACGGTCCACGGGGCTATCTGGAGCCATGTTAGAGATGCATCTCCCGAAGAACGCGCTCTTGGCTTCTGGAAAAGTCGCGCGGGGACCCCCCAAGAGCGCCCGGGAGCGCCCAGAACTCCGAGCTGTGGGTTCCTTCGAACATATTTGCAGAAGTCGGCGCAGAGAATTCGAAGGGAATTCGTGCCTCAGGGCACGGTGGCAGGTGTAGTTGACATGCTGTCTGGCGGCGGAAGCTCCTGCCGCAGCCTCCCCGAAACCGAGCGCATGGTTTTTTAATCGCCCTCTTTGGCCAACATTGCGGTTGAACATGTGTTGTTGTTTTTCTTTCCTGCTCTTGCTCATGCCGTTGCCGTCATTCACCGTCCTCGTGCTCCACCCCCTCTCTGCCTCCCTCTTCCTTTTCCTTTCATTATCCTCCAGATCTGGCTCTTCCTGCATCCGTCTAACGACGAGCATGGCTTTCAGCCGCTACCCTGGGGCAACACCTCGGTTGAAACATAATCCCCCTGCTTCCTCGACAATTCCACAACCTGGATACTACTCCCTCTCTACCATGATGACGTCCGGGAGATGTTCGGGCCCCCTCCGCGTGTTGTTTTCTTGCACAGCATTCCTGGGAGTTAAGTTGTCGCTTGGATTTTTTGTTCAATGCTGCTCCCGCTGCAGCGCTGGCCTCATTTTCGGGCTGCCGCTCCTGCCGAATCGTGCTCCCGCTGCAGTGCTGGCCTCATTTGCGCGCTTTCGCTCGTTCCGAGTCGCGCTTCCGCTGCAGCGCTGGCCTCATTTCCGCACTTCCGCTCGTTCCGAGTCGTGCTACCGCTCCAGCATTGGCGTCATTGTTTCCAGACCATGCCAAGGCATGCAATGCAATGCTTTGTAGTGTTCCTGCACGCCTTCAGTTGCAATGCTATGATATGCAGTGCTTGTCTACGCAGTGCCACGCCGTGCTATGGCCATGCTACGCTTTGATCTTCAACGCCATGCTATACCATGTTCTGTTCTGTGCTGCTGTGCCATGCCATTCTTTGCGTTGCAATGCTTTGTGACGCAATTCTTCACTACGCAACGTCCCGCCATGCTATTTCATGATACGCTTCTCCGTGCTCTTCTACGCTCAACTAGGCCGTGCTCTACGGTTCATCGCGCACCCGCTCGGGATCATTGTCCTGCTCGACATCCGACTCTGCGAATAGAGAGGAGTTCTACGCCATCGTTTGGGATGGGAGGGAGGGGTCGGACGTCAGATATGATGCGAGCGCACCTAGCTTGTCTTTATTCCCCATATCCTAAGGATTGGGGTTCTTGTTATTACTCTGACGCCTCCCACTCCTCCTCCTCCTTCTTCCTCCCGCTCGCGCCTCCCTCCTCCCAATGATAATCACCAGATAAGACAAGACAATATAATATACTACAATATAAGATAAGATAGCACAAGATATGATAAGGTAAGGTAAGATATATGACAAGGTAGGATAATAGATAAGATAAGACAGCCTATGGAGTAATAAGATAAGACAATACATGATGCGATAAGATGAGTTGATATAAGATAAGCTAAGACAAGATAAGAGATTTCAAGATAAGATAAGATAGAGGGTAATAAAGGTAAGATAAGATAGGACTCGATAAGATAAGATGAGACTCACTCTCACTCAGACTCACTCACAGTCACATTCACTCACACTCACACTCTCTCATGATCACAAAACGCTGCCAGGGGCATCATTTGGGAGCCCCAAGGGGGAGCCACCCTGGCTGATCTCACGAGCCCGTTCGCGCCGATTTTGGTGGGACGTCTCAGCTAAAATTGCCGTTTGGCCTCCCCAACATGTCTCTCTTGAGAGCCTCATGGTCACAAAACGCTGCCAGGGGCATCATTTGGGAGCCCCAAGGGGGAGCCACCCTGGCTGATCTCACGAGCCCGTTCGCGCCGATTTTGGTGGGACGTCTCAGCTAAAATTGCCGTTTGGCCTCCCCAACATGTCTCTCTTGAGAGCCTCATGGTCACAAAACGCTGCCAGGGGCATCATTTGGGAGCCCCAAGGGGGAGCCACCCTGGCTGATCTCACGAGCCCGTTCGCGCCGATTTTGGTGGGACGCCTCAGCTAGAATTGCCGTTTGGCCTCCCCAACATGTATCTCTTGAGAGCCTCATGGTCACAAAACGCTGCCAGGGGCATCATTTGGGAGCCCCAAGGGGGAGCCACCCTGGCTGATCTCACGAGCCCGTTCGCGCCGATTTTGGTGGGACGTCTCAGCTAGAATTGCCGTTTGGCCTCCCCAACATGTCTCTCTTGAGAGCCTCATGGTCACAAAACGCTGCCAGGGGCATCATTTGGGAGCCCCAAGGGGGAGCCACCCTGGCTGATCTCACGAGCCCGTTCGCGCCGATTTTGGTGGGACGCCTCAGCTAGAATTGCCGTTTGGCGTCCCCAACATGTATCTCTTGAGAGCCTCATGGTCACAAAACGCTGCCAGGGGCATCATTTGGGAGCCCCAGGGGGGGTCCACCAGGGGCTTCATAGTCACCAAACGCTGCCAGGGGCAGCATTTTGGCTTCCCAAAGAGGAGTCGACCCGGGCCTCCTAGTCGCCAGACACTGCCAGGGGCACCATTGGGATTCAGACTCGCACCCAGACTCACTCATACACAAGCTCACTCACACTCAGATTCATTTCTTCAGAGTCAGGCACACACAGACGTACCCATACTCAGACTCACCCACACTCAGGCTCACCTAACCCAGACTCCGTCAGAAGCCAGTAGCGAAGAGAGCAGAGAGGAGAGAGAGAGAGAGAGAGAGAGAGAGAGAGAGAGAGAGAGAGCGGGAGAGAGCGAGAGAGAGAGAGAGAGAGAGAGCGCGAGCGCGAGCGCGAGCGCGAGCGAGAGAGAGAGAGAGAGAGCGAGCGAGCGAGCGAGAGAGAGAGAGAGGAGAGGAAGAGAGAGAGAGAGAGAGAGAGAGAGAGAGAAGGAGAGAGAGAGAGAGAGAGAGAGCAAGAGAGAGAGAGAGAGGAAGCGAGTTGAGAGAGAGAGACAGGCGAGAGAAAGAGAGAAGAGAGAGAGAGAGAGAGAGAGAGAGAGAGAGAGAGAGAGAGAGAGAGAGAGATAGATATAGAAGAGAGAGAGAGAGGAGAGAGAGAGAGAGAGAAAGTGGAAGAGAGGGGGGGGGAGAGAGAGAGAGAGAAGAGAGAGAGAGAGAGAAGAGAAGCGAAGAGAAGAGAAGAGAGAGATAGAGAGAGAGAGCGAGAGACGAGAGAGAGAGAGAGAGCAGAGAGAGAGAGAGAGAGAGAGCGGGAGAGAGCGAGGGAGAGCGAGAGAGAGCGAGAGAGAGCGAGTGAGAGCGAGAGAGAGAGAGAGAGAGCGAGAGAGAGCGACAGAGAGCGAGAGAGAGCAAGAGAGAGCGAGAGAGCGAGAGAGAGAGAGAGAGAGAGAGAGAGAGAGAGAGATAGAGAGAGAAAGAGAGAGAGAGAGAGAGAGAGAGAAGAGAAGAGAAGAGAAGAGAAGAGAAGAGAGAGAGCGAGAGAGAGAGAGAGGGAGAGTGAGAGAGAGAGGAGAGAGCAGAGAGAGAATAGAGAGAAGAGAGAGAGAGAGAGAGAGAGAGAGAGAGGCAGAGATAGAGGCAGAGAGAGAGAGGCACAGAGAGAGAGGCAGAGAGAGAGAGAGGCAGAGAGAGAGAGGCAGAGAGAGAGGCAGAGAGAGAGAGAGAGGCAGGGAAAGAGAGGCAGAGACAGAGAGAGGGCAGAGAGAGAGAGAGAGACAGAGAGAGCAGAGAGAGAGAGAGAGAGAGAGGCAGCTCAGTCACACTTAAATCCAGATTCGTCCTCACCGAGTCCCACCACCAAGGGAGCGCCAGCAAGGAGATGCACATGTGGGGATCCCCACGCAGTGAATAATCTTATTTTGTTTCTCTCTCTCTCTCTCTCGTCTCCAAACGTATCCACCCTGGGCCCGAAACGCCCCTTCGCTCTCCCTTTCGTGGGGGCCTACACTGCAGTTTTGGAGGCCCTGGTTCCTGGGCCGTTCCGGGTCGTCTTCGGGGCTGTTGCGGGGGAGCCTTGGAAGCCTCTTGGGCCGTCTTGGGGCGTTAGAAGCCCGAAGAGGTGAGGCCGCAAAGGTCACAATGAGGATCAGCGGTTGTTACCTCTTGGGCCCTCCTTTGGGGGTTCCCTGTGGGCCTCATCGGGTATCGCGGCGTCCTAGTGGCCTCTTGGGCTGGCTTGAGGCAACCTAGCGCCCTTTCTGTGCGCTCTTAGGCCATGTGGCCCTCTGAGGGGCCCCTCGGAGCATCCTGGAGGCATCTTGGACCGTCCTGGAGGCCTCTTGGGACCCTCTTGGCCCATCTTGGGGCTCCCTGGCCGCGGAGGTAGTCACGCCTCACACCGGAGGAAAGCCCCTGCGGGCCCATGAAGGAGCACTTGCAAGACCTTGCACTGAGGGTTGAGGGCTCCTGAAGACCTGACTCCGCTCAGTGCTTCGGCGCAAGGCGCTGATAGATAACAGTATACGCGAGCATGTGCATCGATGTTTGTGTAAATACGAGGTACACATCTACATATAATATACACACATGTGTCAAGATGTATATATGTTCATATGGATGTATTGTTTTTTTTTTTTTTTCGCAGGTTGAACATGCACCTACACAGTATACACAATTGTAAATATGATCATCCTTAGATAGCCACCTACGCACGCATGGCTGTTATACATATTCGTATATACGTTTGCACATGTATATGTACACATACGGATTGCCGTCGTTGTGCCTCTGACGGCCAATACACGCCTCGGGAGATGTCCTGGGACGCTCGGAGACTCTGGGAGGCCCCAGAAGAGGACGCCGACGACGAGGAGACTCGAGAGTCCTGTGTCCCTGGGCTGCCTTCGAGAAAGCCCTGTGCCGCAAAGAGCCGGCTCTGCAGACGGAGTTCGGCCTACCGCCGCCGCAGAAGTTCCCCTCGGGCTGGGGGCGGTGGCGCCCTCTCTTGCGCCCTGAGCGGGAGGAGCTCGGGACTCGACTGCTGAGGGCTGAGGTGAAGGAAGGTGGGAGGGAGGAGGGGGAGGAATGCGCTCTCGCTAGATCTGATATCCGACCCTTCCACCCATCCCTACCCACTGCGCTGGTTTGTTGCCGCATATCCATGCAGATCTGGGTTCCCCCGTCACAAAAAGAACACGAGAGGTATATGACCACGTCTGCCCTTTGTGCGACTAGATATTGTAACGCTCTGTATACGCGAGCGCGCTGCAAGACCTGCAGCACCCGGGAAGGCGACGCGAAACCGTGTCGGGCCTCGCGCGTCGCACACCTGCGCAGCATGGAGCGGGAGGGCAGAGGTGGAGGAGCGAAAGAAGGTCGTACACGTACATGAATCCACGCTGGTTCCGAGAGAACGCATTGCGCAAATGTTCGTACAACGCGGCCGGTCTCGCAGATCGAGGGGCCGTGTTCATGTACATAGCTGGGCGCGTACGTCCTTTGTGGGCTCCCTGAGAAGTGGAGGAGGAGGGGGAGGACGAGGGGCGGAGGACAGGGAGGCTGGAGATCGCAGGGAAGAGAACACTGGAGACGGGCAACGGCGCCATTCGCCACATCTGCTCGTTGCGCCCGTGCTGCCTCCGCGGACGACGGACGCCTGAGAGGACGGGGGGGGGGAGCGGGCCACCGAGGACAGCGCGGTGCGTTATGCCTGACGCGCTCCCGCGCGCGGCGCTCTGCGTGTGTGCTGCAGCAGCGCCTCGCGCTGCACGACGGGGCAGTGCCGCGCGCCGTGTGGTCGCGGAGTCCGGACCGCGAGGCAACGGACGTGGACATGCTTTCCTCCAGCATCGCGGATTCAGTTGCTTCCCCTCCCTCTCCACCTCCTCCACCTCCCTCTCCTCCTCCTCCTTCTCCTCCTCCTCCTCCTCCTCCTCCTCCTCCTCCTCCACATCCCTCTCCTCCTCCTCCTCCTCCTCCTCCTCCTCCTCCTCTTCCTCCTCCTCCTCCCCCCTCTCCGCCACCCCATCCTCCCTCCCCGTACTCTTCCCCCCCCCATGGGCCGTAAAGGTTCGCTCCGGCGTACCGGCTCCAGATGAAGCTCCGGAAGTCCCTCGCGCAGCGGTTCGCAAAGAAGGCCCCTCGGGGAGGCAGGGGTAAGAGGTGAGGATGGAGGGAGGAGGAGGAGGCGGAGGAGGAGGAGGAGGAGGACGACGACGACGGGAGGGAGGGACGGAAGGGGGGGAGGGTCTTTGTAAGGGTTGGCAAGGATTTGTTTTGTTTGGGTGGAAGGCGGCAACGGCGGCCTGGAACACTCCTGGCGGCCGAAGGCGCTGGCTCCCAGCTCTGGAGATTCCGATTTAAAGTTCTGCAATTTGGGAACAGTGCCCGCTGAAGACGCAGTCAACCCGCATCGTAAGGATGGGCGATGCTCCAAGGTCGTCTTCGCATCCTTTCCCCTCGGCCCATCCTTGGCTGCCTTCGCTGCCCGCGCCCCGCTCGCAAAGCGTCGGCGTGGCCGCTCCAAGGCCCTGGCAGCCTTGCCGCGCGTCCTTCTCGTACGGGCTGCCCGCAGCAGGCGTGAGCGGTGCCGCGGTGGGCAGCTCCCCGCTGTCGTCAGGACGGCGGAGCTCTCGGGGCCCTGGGGCCTCGAGAGCTGTCGGGGCCTCGGAGCTGTCGGGACGCGAGAGAGCAGCCTCCGTCGGGCGGCCCCGCTGTGCCCTCCGCAGGCCTCCCCAGGACAGGACATCAGCACCGCAGCCCGGGGGTGTGGAGTGCCTCGGGGGGGTGGGGGGTCAGGGGTCGAGGGGGGGAGGAGGGTCAGGGGGGAAAGAAACACGCAGACACAAGTCATCGTCGGCTCCCGGGAAAATACGGGAGCCCGTTCGAAGTGGGGGTGGAATGCGAAAGCCCAGAAACTATAGGACACTTGTTTGGGAATCCTGGGATTTGCGTGTATTTATGTGTGTGTGTGTGTGTCCCTCGGCCCCTTAAGGGGGGGAAAGGGGGCGGGCGGCGCTGGAGGCGGCGCAGCGGGGGTAGCCTCCACGGGCCTTGCCAGTTCGAGCCTGCTCTACTGAGCTGGCTCATCACGCCCAGGAGCACTGAGCTTCAGAGCTGCCCTGGAGCGCAAGGCGTGCCGTGCTCAGGACGTCCGCCTTGGCACGCGATGTGCCCTCCATTCCCAGAGGGGGCGGAGTCGGGGAACATCGACACAAAAACACGTGTGGAACCCGGCCTGAAGCCCCTGGAGGCCGCGGGGCTGCGGGCGCTGGGCCAGGACTGCGGCCTCCCCCTTCCCCTCCTGGCCTCCAGGCTCCTCCTCCTCCTCCTCCTCCTCCTCCTCCTCCTCCTCCTGCTCCTCCTCCTCCTCCTCCTCCTCCTCCTCCTCCTCCTCCTCCTCCTCCTCCTCCTCCTCCCCCTCATAACCCGAAATGCGGGTCTTCGGGTTAGGTTGGGGTGGTCTGGTAGGCCGAGGACGACGGCAGCGACGACGGCCACGATGGCGATGCCGCCAACCGCGGCGACGACGACCCCTCGGGGCGACCGTCCCCCATAGCGCCCCCTTGAGATATGGCGTCGCAGAGCAGCAAACAAGAATAATCACAAGATCAACAAAACAGCACCACCAACAACAACGACGACAGCGACAACAACGACAACGACAACGACAACTTCAACGACAACAACGACAACGACGACAACAACAACAACAACAATCACAACAACAACAACAACAACAACAACAACAACAACAACAGCAACAACCGCAACAACAGCAGCACATCAACACAGCAACAACAACACCAGCAACAACAACACCACCAACTGCAACACCAGCACCGGCAACAACAACAACAATAACAACAACAGCAACACTTTCGCGAATAATCACGACAGGAGGCTTAGACCTTGGATGGCGAACGTTCAACACACGCCCATCACCTCTGGAGGGTCGGAGGGAGGAGGACTGGCTATGGGTACGGGTACGGGTTGCCGGACCCCGTGTGAGGCTCCCGCTCGAGCGGGCCCCCCGTCTGACAGCACGGACCCATGGCCCCTCCGCCCCAATTTGGGGTATGGATGCGTGTTGTTCGTTCGTGATTGGAGTCTCAGGTGGCCCAGATCTGATTGGTCAGCCGGAACGGCGGGCAGAGCGTGAATTACCTACACCGCTTTCGCTTCCAGACAAAACCAAGTCATACCACGCGCCTCCTCGTCAAGCGGCCTGACCAGTACAGACCGTAGTTTGGCATCGCTTGGTATCTCTTGGAAGCGAGGATGGTCAAAAGCGAGGCAGGTTTGTTTGCCCCTAGATTCGAGGTTCTGGGTTCATGAGAGTTTGTATCTTTTCTGGCCTCCAGGGGCCGTTTTCGGTGCCCGGGATCGTCAAAAGCGGATTTTCAGTGAAACATTGCACCAGATGTCCAGGGACCGATTATGCGCGGGTTGAGTTTCACCACCCCCGTCCTGCCCGATATTGGGGGGCCCCATCCGGTTCAGACCCCCCGACCGCCACTGACTTCATCCAACCTAGTCCCCATTTTTCTGCATCATTTTTCAAGGTGATTGTTTTTTCGTTCATGGTTTTGCCGATCGGAGCGGGCCTTCGCCCCCCCCCCCCCCCCCCCCCATGGAGTAGATCTTGGCCGTTTTGGGTGCCTGCTTCAAGCAGGTGGACGGCTCCACATAACATTCCCCATTGGAGCACTGTTCTAAGCAGAGGTCCGGCGCCAGACCGCCCCGCTCCTTCCCCCTTCCGCTCGTTGTCGAAACTCCGAATAAGGGAAATGCTCACAAGCCGCATCGATCTGCGAGGGTCCCCGGGGCCGAAACCGTGCGTAAACGCCCGTTGTGAAAGAATGGCAGCGCCACGATCTCAGCCACGCCCGAGTCGGCCACGCGCAAACTGGGGGCAGGGGGAGGGGGGAAGGCTTCTTAGAAGCCTTCCCCCCTCCCCCTGCCCCCTGTGCGCGCCGCCATTCGTCGGACGAGGCGAGGGCGAGGGCACGTCCGTTCCACAGCGTTCCAGAGCGCTCTCAGAGCGTTCCCGACCGCTCTGAGAAGGCCGCGACGCCCGAGACATCCTCCAGAGCCGCTGCATCTCAGAGATCTTCGATGCATCCTCGCCCGAAATGAGGTACTCCTCCTGGCTTCGTCTGGCACCGAGGTCGGCTGCGGCCACCTGCGCACGCTGTCCGACGAGCAGACGACGATGATCCTGCAGGAGCCGCGCCGCCGCCGCCGAGGCCCCGGCCCCGGCGACGGCCTCTGGCGGCGGCGGCGGAGGCTTAGCCGGGCGGCGGAGCTGCGGCCGCCCGGGGGCGGCTGGCGGCGAGGGCGGCGACGTCGACGACGGGGGTGGGGGGGGGGCGCGGAGCGGGAGGAGGGGGAGGAGGAGGAGGAGGAGGAGGAGGAGGAGGAGGAGGAGGAGGAGGAGGAGGAATAAGAATCAGAAGAGGAGGGGAGAGAAGGAGGAGGAGGAGAAGACGGAGGAGGAGGACAGGAGGAGGGGGAAAGGAGGAAGAGGAAGGAGGAGGAGGAGGAGGAGGAGGAGGAGGAGGAGGAGCACGGGACGCATAGAGAGACGCGCTGAGTTCGGGGTCGGGACGGAGCAGCAGCGATGGGGAAGCAGAGCAGCACAATCTCACGCAAAATCGATGAGCGCACCGACGCAATATATACTATAAAGCAATCAGCACACTCTTGCGAGGGGGATGCGACATCGCCGACGCAGGCCCTCGAGATCCGAACGAGCACGAGCGACCCTGGAGAGGCGAAAGAAGACGCACGTTTGGCGTACGCCGGAGGAGGAGGAGGAGGAGGAGGAAGAGGAGGAGGAAGAGGAGGAGGAGGAGGAGGAGGAGGAGGAGGAAGAGGAGGAGGAAGAGGAGGAGGAGGAGGGGTTGGAGGAGGGGTTGGTTGGTTGGTGTCCTCCCAGCGAGGGCGGCAGACCCCGCAGCTCCCGCTCAGGGGAAGAGAAGGTACCGCCTGCGGGGCTAGGGGAAGGGGAAGGGGAGGACAGGAGACGGACCGAGGAACGCCCGACTGAGCCAGGCCCCGCGCTTCTGGCCGTTCCTTGCCCCTGGAAGCGAACGCGATGGAGAAGAAGGGAAGGCCCGGGGAGGGGGCCCTAACGGCGACCCCCTCCCACGGGGACCCCCGCCCGTACTCCAAGCCGCCTCGTGTCAGCGCATGGCGCAGCTGCGAGACTGACAGAACGGAGGGAGAGGAGGAGGAGGAGGAGGAGGAGGAGGAGGAGGAGGAGGAGGAGGAGGAGGAGGAAGGAGGAGGAGGAGGAGGAGGAGGAGGAAGAGGAGGAGGAAGAGGAGGAGGGCGTTGGTTGGTTGGTGTCCTCCCAGCGAGGCGGAAGACCCCGCAGCTCCCGTAAGGGCAGAGAATGGTACCGCTGCGGGGGGCTAGGGGAAGGGAAAGGGCGAGAGGACAGGAGACGGACAGAGGACCGCCCGACGAGCAGGCCCCGCCAAAGCGCGGTTGACGGTTCGTATGGATAGCGAACGGATGGAGCAGAAAGGGGGGGGAAAGGGGGCTCGGGGAGGGGGCCCTAACGGCGACCCCCTCCCACGGGGACCCCCGCCCGTACTCCAAGCCGCCTCGTGTCAGCGCATGGCGCAGCTGCGAGACTGACAGAACGGAGGGAGAGGAGGAGGAGGAGGAGGAGGAGGAGGAGGAGGAGGAGGAGGAGGAGGAGGAAGAGGAGGAGGAAGAGGAGGAGGAGGAGGAGGGGTTGGAGGAGGGGTTAGTTGGTTGGTGTCCTCCCAGCGAGGCGGCAGACCCCGCAGCTCCCGCTCAGGGGAAGAGAAGGTACCGCCTGCGGGGCTAGGGGAAGGGAAAGGGGAGGACAGGAGACGGACCGAGGAACGCCCGACTGAGCCAGGCCCCGCGCTGCTGGCCGTTCCTTGCCCCTGGAAGCGAACGCGATGGAGAAGAAGGGAAGGCTCGGGGAGGCGGGCCTGAACGGCCGACCCCCTCCCACGGGGACCCGCCCGTACTCCAAGTGCCTCGCGTCAGCGCATGGCCTCGCACGGATGACAGAAACGGAGGGAGACGGAGGAAGGAGGAGGAGGAGGAGGAGGAGGAGGAGGAGGAGGAGGAGGAGGAAGAGGAGGAGGAAGAGGAGGAGGAGGAGGAGGGGTTGGAGGAGGGGTTAGTTGGTTGGTGTCCTCCCAGCGAGGCGGCAGACCCCGCAGCTCCCGCTCAGGGGAAGAGAAGGTACCGCCTGCGGGGCTAGGGGAAGGGGAAGGGGAGGACAGGAGACGGACCGAGGAACGCCCGACTGAGCCAGGCCCCGCGCTTCTGGCCGTTCCTTGCCCCTGGAAGCGAACGCGATGGAGAAGAAGGGAAGGCCCGGGGAGGGGGCCCTAACGGCGACCCCGTCCCACGGGGACCCCCGCCCGTACTTCAAGCCGCCTCGTGTCAGCGCATGGCGCAGCTGCGAGACTGACAGAACGGAGGGAGAGGAGGAGGAGGAGGAGGAGGAGGATGAGGAGGAGGAGCAGGAGGAGGAGGAGGAGGAGGAGGAGGAGGAGGAGGAAGAGGAGGAGGAAGAGGGGTTGGTTGGTTGGTGTCCTCCCAGCGAGGCGGCAGGACCCCGCAGCTCCCGATCAGGGGCCAAGAGAAGTACGCCAGCGGGGCTAGGGGAAGGGAACAAGGGGAGGACAGGAGACGGAACCGAGGAACGCCCGACTGAGCCAGGCCCCGCGCTCTGGCCCGTTCTCGCCCGGAAGCAAGAACGCGACGGAGAAGAAGGGAAGCTCGGGGAGGGGGCCCTAACGGCGACCCCTTCCAACGGGGACCCCGCCGTACGCCAGCCGCCTCGTGTCAGGCATGGCGCAGCATGCGAGACGGACAGAAACGGAGGGAGAGGAGGAGGAAGGAGGAGGAGGAGGAGCAGGGGAGGAGGAGGAGGAGGAGGAGGAAGGAAGAGGAGGAGAGAGCGAGGAGGAGGAGGAGGAGGAGGAGGAGGAGGAGGAGGAATGCGGAGGGAGGAAGAGGGAGAGGAAGAGGAGGAGTGGAGGAGGGGTTGGAGGAGGGTGTTGGTGGTTGGTGTCCTCCCAGCGAGGCGGCAGACCCCGCAGCTCCCGCTCAGGGGAAGAGAAGGTACCGCCTGCGGGGCTAGGGGAAGGGGACGGGGAGGACAGGAGACGGACCGAGGAACGCCCGACTGAGCCAGGCCCCGCGCTTCTGGCCGTTCCTTGCCCCTGGAAGCGAACGCGATGGAGAAGAAGGGAAGGCTCGGGGAGGGGGCCCTAACGGCGACCCCCTCCCACGGGGACCCCCGCCCGTATCCAAGCGCCTCGTGTCAGCGCATGGCGCAGCTGCGAGACTGACAGAACGGAGGGAGAGGAGGAGGAGGAGGAGGAGGAGGAGGAGGAGGAGGAGGAGGAGGAGGAGGGATTGGAGGAGGGGTTGGTTGGTTGGTGTCCTCCCAGCGAGG